TAGACAAATGTGGAGAGGAAGCTGAATGGCTACGCCACTTCCTAGAGGACATTCCAAGATGGGATAAACCGGTCCCACCAGTTTGCATCTATTGTGATTGTCAATCAGCAATAGGACGTGCAAAGAGTAATATGTATAATGGTAAGTCTAGACATATTCGTCGTAGACACAAAACCATTAGACAACTTCTCACAACTGGGATTATCACGATTGACTATGTGAAGTCAAAGGATAATCTGGCGGATCCGCTAACCAAAGGGTTAACAAATGAGTTGCATGAGAAGTTGGTGGCAGGAATGGGTTTGAAGCCCTTGTGCTAGGACAGTCCTATGAAGGAAAACCCAACCTGGCTGGTACCCAGGTTCAATGGGACAACCTACTTGTAGGATAAAGCATGGTCACTGTGGGGGTGGTACTGGAACCTCCGGTCAGTCCCTCCTGTTCCTGCTGAAGATAGTGACTACCGAAAATGATGAGGTTAGCATATAAATATGCTTTAATGATTCTTAAACAATAGACACGGTGGTCTAAGGGGAGTAATCGGGATACTCTTAAAGAATCACCTATGTAAGAGTGAAGTGTGGTCGCTTCAAACGGAGGATCTTGGGCTTAATCCTCTAAACACTCTCGCAGAACCAGGCGCGTGTCCCACGACCAAAATGGGCACAACCATGAGAACAGAACAGCGTTTGGTTAGAATCTGTGTATGGTATACTATCGTTTACACAAGCGGCAGTACAGTTCAAAGACATCGCGTTCTACTGAACAGCCAGTAAAGAAGGTATACTTTACAAGGGACAAGTTCAAAAGTGGAGACACTTACATGTTCTTTGCAGGTTTTCAACCGTGGGATGTTGTCGACCCCAAATCAATTTTTTCATTCATGTGGGGGATTGTTGGAATTTTTGGCATTTTAATAGGCATTAAATGGACCAACTTGGGTATATTTGTCAATAGGTCCACTAACGGTTTTAACCGTTAATTAATGGACGTGTGTTCTCTTAAATGAGATAAATATTTTGATAATTTATACGCCAAAAATGGTAGAGGGTGAATGAGAAATTGATTCTCAAATGAACTGTTGAGTAGAAGGAAATATTTATTATTTTCAAATTTCTACAACCTGTTTTACACGTTTGTTCTAATTAGTTCCAAAGTTCGGAGTTAATTGGCCACTAATCTCCAATTTATAGGAACAAATTTTAAACTAATGTGTATGCCAACGGTTGATAATAATGTACATAAATGATATAATCATTATGATTATTGATGAGTGTCATTATGCCCATGATAAAGAATTGATCCGTTTCGATTCTTATAAAAAATGAAGGCACATGTTAATTGCATTAAATGTAAAATGGCCTTTCATGCTTCTTGGTTTGGATATATACGTACACACAAGAAGAGAGAAGATTGCCTATTTTTGTTATTAAAAGTTTTTTTTGTTTCCCCCTTGGTTTTTACGAACAAGAAAGGAAAAAGAAGAAAAAAAAACTTTGTGAGTGCAAAAGCTCTAGTTTTTTGCCAAAGTTTCAAGCCATCCTCTTTAACGTTTTTTTAATCAGCAATACTCCGACGTTGTTCTTGTTCGTTGGTGTGTGGTCGGTCCGTACAACCACTACACACGATAGCAGTTTTATCTTGGGAGGAAAGTGCCCACGTTCTCCAGTACGGTAGGCGGGCACTATTACCTTAAGGACAGCTCCGGCGACTCCGCTGCCTTTCCACAGTGTTCTATTTTGCAGATTTTGTTCTCGAGTTCTACGTCCCAGTTCGCTGCTTCTTTTTAGTGCACAAAGTCCTAATTGTCAAAGAAGGCCTTTGAAGATCGGAAGCTAATTTAATTTTATTTATTGTAATTAATCCGAATAAAATTATAAATTCGGATTATTTTATTTCTTTTAGTTTCTGGGACCGTTCCTCTTTTCCGTTTATTGTAATCCGTACGATCATTTCTAACAATATTGAAGTTGGTTATGTATTTCTTCTATTTCTTTATTGTTTTATTAGAAAGCCTCAAGAAAGGCCTCTATAACTTCCTGTTAGTCAATTTTCTTGCATTTAACGTCCATAGGAAGATTTTGTGCAGTTTCTATGTTCGATGTTAGGAGAGTATCACTTGAGCAGAGCTATGGTTAGAAAATAGCTTTGTAAGTTCTTAATTGTGTCTTCTCTTCTATTATGTGTTGAATTTTTCTTTAATGTTTTTGTTCATTATAACTTAAAGGACCATGAGAGAAGAGAGTGTAGAGACGATCATATGTAAAAGGAGCTAATCTTGCTAGATGATGGTGTTATGGTTCAGACTACTTAAAAAAGTATTCTTTTGAATTTTCACTAATTAGGGTTCCTCAAGGAAGCAAACGACCATGGCAATGGGGGAATATCATAGTCGTGGGAGACCTTGGCAGCAAAGAAGGTAATCTTTCTAGATGATGGTTCAATGGTTTGACTATATAAAAAGTATCAAGTCTCTGCTAAATCGCCACTAAGGGGGACACCAGATAATGGTGTTTTTTCATCAACAAAAAGGGGAATACAAAATCCACTTAAAAGTTATCAAAATAATTTCTTGGTAGAGTTGGACTATGAGAAGAAAAGTTGTCATTTGATCTTAGGGGATATATATCTGCGATAAATGAACATCAGATAAAAATATCTAATGAAATAATGGAAGTCGTGACAGCTGAAAAACAAAGTTTCTTTTTTGTGTATGGCTACGATAGATGTGGAAAAATATTTCTCTAAAATCACTTTATGCTTCCCCGAGTTCAAATGGTAAGGTTGTCTTGAATGCCGTATCCATCTTCATTGTAGCATTACTTTTGCCTAGGGAAGGACAACAACTCAAGATTCTTAATCCATTTGGCGCTAATCGAGTGCTCATCGTGTGCCATCAAACAAGAAAGCCTGAAAGCAAAACTAATCCAACTAGCAAGTATAATCATATGGAATGAATAATCTAAGATGAATAGATTTACTTTTGATGCATTAGAGTGCACAATGAGAGATGTATTGAAGTTCCCTAATAATAATTCCATAAATGAATAATTTGGAGGAAAAATAGTTGTACGTGGAGATAATTTTATCTAAATTCTTTTAGTTTTATTCGAAACTTTGAAAGAGGAAATTACAGGTGCTGCCGCCAATTCATCAAAAATATGATTGTAATGTAAAGTTTATACGGTGACAAAAAATATGAGATTGCATTCTTCTACGTATTTTTGCACAGATAGGGACACACAAGTTTTTCCTGATTAGATAATCAAATTTGGAGATGGAAATCTTGGACAAGTGATTGATGAAGTTGGTTGCTGACGTGAAATCTCATCCGAATTCTTGATTCTTAACACAAGTTATTCCTTTAGAATATAGTGAACTTCACTTATCCGAACTTATTGGAGAACATAAAAAACTATTCTTTTTTTGAAGATAGTGCACTATTGGCACCCATGCTTGAGGTTGTTGAATGGTAAAACAATTTGTCTTATCCCTTATTCTAGGAGGTGAAAAGTAGTACGCCCTCCGTCCTGGAGTATTCGTCCAGTTTTGACTTTTGGAACTGTTCATCTAAGCACTTTGACTCATCAAATCCTCTCAATGTGTAAGCCTAAATATAGTCATGTGTGATCTTGTTTGATTTGTCTTAACATATAGATTATTAATATATAATTTCTATAATTTTTTAATATACAAATTACAAGATAAAATGGATTAAAGAAGTGTATTGGATGGTGTGTAAAAATGAAAGTGGACAAATACTCTGGGACGAAGGTAGTACTTAAGTTTTTATTCTTCATGCCAGCAAGTTTGGAATTAAAAAAGACATTTTTGAGTATATTTTCAATTCCTCAAATATTTTTTGTTTAACCTAGATGTTTTTGTCCAATGATAAAAATCGTGTTAGAAATATATTTACTTGATCCAAAAAATATATTGCATTAAAAAAATTCAGAATCGACAAAAATTTCGTCAACTCCGTGCGTCGCACGGGTGAATAAACTAGTACTAGTATATATATATATATATATATAGGGGCTGGTTCCTGTGAGAAAGGACCTTGGTGAAAGAAATAAGAATAAATGTGGTTCCTTGATCTCAAGCATCCGACGGACAATATATATTAAAAAATATGAAGCATGTTGTGGTTTTATAAGGTAACAAATCATCACATTGATTTTGAATTAAAGAAACGTATCCACTTAGGGGCAGTATTGTAAATAGTCAATGCACTTAAAACATTGAGGGATGAGGCGGCCATCTAATTCCGACTTTTTAGCACTTACCCTTATATTGAAACTCCACCAATCTTCCTATTTTCCTATGGACGACAAGAATATAAATCCATTGATAAATATATTTGGAAACTTCATATGTGTGTGAAGTGCATTTGCAATTTTTTGTGCAAGACTTTATTTCTGTTTGAAATGCATTTTGAGTGTTGAATGTTGCATTTGTGTTCTTACATGCACTGGCGCTCACATGAATTATTAGCATGTGTTTTCGAGTAATTTATTTCAATATTTCTAGTTTATTTATTATTATTGGAGGGGTTAATTCAAGTGAGAATGATCCTTATTGCGCGAATAGACCTTATCATGAGAATAATGCATTTTTATTCTGTCACGATGCATGTTTACATTGTGCTAGTGCTTTTTTAGCACAGTGACTAAAGTTCAACTTATTTACCATAATGATACCATGTTTTTTCATATTTTTTCAGTTTTTTAAATTTTCAAGCACTTAGATCTTATATCTAATGCAAAAGATTCATTGTTATTTCTTTCATTAGATTACATTCTCACTTGATCCAAAATCATTATTGGAAATATGATTTCTTATTTGATATTTCATACTTGAATTCTCATAATTAATGCAATCAAGGTGGTCTTATATCATATGTTTAGGTGTATAAACTTGGTGCATTCTCTAAGAAAAGAAGTGCAACACATATTCATGGTGCTAGAAATATCATCAAATTAAAGCACCGATATTAACTGTCAATTGGCTCAATTAGTGCATCCTGAACTCCATCCATCATTATTAGTAGCAATCCATACTTTTCAAATAACAAGCAATTTTCACTCTCAAAGTACCAACAATAACAGTTCTTAATCTCAAATCAGCAACCTTAACTCCATCCATCAACATTAGCAGTAATTCACACACTCTAAGCCGTAATTTTAAACTCAACCAGCACTCTACACGAACAACACAACCAACAATCCACACACTCAAAGCAGAAAAATAAAGTGTGGATTCTACAGAATATGCACTATAGAATCTTTTTAATGCGCTAAATATTTTACATAATGCACTAAAATTGTGTAATACAGAATATACACTCTAAAATCTTTAAACACAATGTACTACATATAATCATTTTTTATAATAATTTTTATTAATCAGTCTAGATTGTAGTGAATATGCACTGTAAAATTTTTATAATGCATTGGAGATTTTAAATGTATATATAATGCACTAAAAACACATACTACATGGAGAGCAGATTTTAGGGAGAAGATATAGATTTTCATGTAGTATGTGTTTTTAGTGCATTATATATACATTTAAAATCTATGGAGAATATACAAGTGCATCATATTTGGTTCAAGAGAATTCTAATATCAGATGCATCAAATTTGATTATTAAAATGTACAAGAACAGAATGCATTTCATTTACCTTGATTATGAGAATGTAATGTCTTGTCATGAAAATGCATTACCGTAGTTTTGTAGATGCAAAGTATCATACAAAAGCAAACAAAAAGTAAAAATGATGGAAGAAAATGAATGCAGTAATGTACACCGCTAATATTGCCATGGCCAAAAAAGTTTTAACAAAATAACAAAAAAGTAAAAAAAGGACTTCAAAATTAAAGCAGCAATGCACACCCCCAACAAGATGTGGCACCATAGCAGTAATCAAGGAGTGATGCAA